CGGCGGCGGCGGCAGCGGCAGCCAGGGGCTGGGTGGGGGCGGGAGGAGGTTTCCGAGGAGGAACGAGCCGCCGCCATTTTGGGAGCTTCGAGTCAACAATAAAGGACCGAAGGTGCCGAGCGGGAGTGGCCTCGGCGGTAGGACCCGGGCCCGAGCTGCGGTAGTGGGGTGAGGTGGGGGGGTCAAGGTCAGCGGCGCCGTCGGGTCTGCGGGAAGCCCCTCGGTCGTCGTGGGGGGCGCTCGGAGGCGTAGGCCCAAGGCCTGGATGGGCCCTAGGGAGGAAGGCAGTCGGCAGCTGTGTGGGGTGGGGGCGTCTGAGAGGAGTCGAATGTGGGGATGTTGTGAGCGGCGGGCTCCGTAGAAACAGCGGGCTAAGTACTCGGAGGAGCTTTATAGAAGATGAGAGACTGTGGGACCATGGGGGCGACAAGGACTTAGGGCGATGGTGGAGGTTATAGGGTACGAGGCAGCCCTATAGGGGGCGGCAGGGATGTACAGTAGTGAAGGGCTCGGTTTAGAAAGGGACCAGCAGTTGCTTGATTGGAATAAAGCCTTGTAGATCGATAACGGGAGGCTGATTCTAGAGCCCCGGAGTCGTGGAGGAAAGGAGGGCTTTCTAGGTTAAGGATTTCTCGTTGGGGACTTACAGGGGGAGTCCCTTTTGTTTCCTACTCGCAGAGCTGGTTGCCTGCTCTTGTTGCGCAGATAGGATTGCAGGGCCCCAACCCTTTTGTGTTTATGGTCACAGGGAGGTGACTTGAATTGTGTTGGATTTTTATTTTTATTTTTTTAGAGGGAGAGACAGGGAGAGCAAGAAATTACTGTTCTTCAAGTAGGGGGTTCAAATCACTGGCTTGTTTCTTTCTCTTCGCTCACTCCCTTTTCTCTTCCACAGTCCCTTTACCCCTTCAGAATAAAACAGTCACTCTAACTTGCAGACCCAGCTTAGAGAAACTGCGCTGCTTTTGCAAACAAAAGATCTGGCTGGAGATGACGATACTGTTTTGGGTGTGAAACTGTCAGTTGCTAACTACAATCTGGGAAGTGGTGTAGTTAATTCCGCACGGCGCTCCTCCCAGCTAGTCTTCGTTTCGTTCGTACTTTTGAAATACAGAAATATAACTTGTAAATCTAAATGGGGAAGGAGGGGTCTGAAACATAAAGCTGTAAGTGCAGGTTTCAGTTTAAGAGGGAGCAGTTATCACATAGTCACATTTCGGATCTAGGGGACATAATGAGTCTTAGATGTATGAGGAGTGTAATGATATCGTTTGATCTTTAGAGGTTGCCCTCTTCATCCTCTTAGTGCTTTGCAAACAAGTCTTCTGAACCACTTGATATTGTTGATGGTAATGTAAACCTGCCAATAAGGATACCGTTTACTACCTTGAAACTGAAATTAGGTGGCCGTTAAACACGACCTGCTTAAGAGGTTAATCAGATTCTGGAAGACTCAAATATACCTCTTTGCGTATGTGGTAATCAGGATTTGCTTGTGAGCAACTTTATTTTCAATTTTTTAAAAAAGTAAGACAAATATTTTAGAAAAATTTTGTTTGGCAAGACTTGATGTATGGAAAAATAACCCTAATTAATTAGCTAGTGTATTTTTGGTAAAAAATGTAAAGGAATTAAAAAGGAGCGAACCCATAAGAGTAGGCCTTTATTTTCTGGCCTTTGTAAATTAAGTTTTTATTTACCACATTTTAAAATTGGTTTGGGGAATAATTAAAAATGGAGGTTAACCAGTTTTTTTTTTAAAACAACTATTAATTAGTACTCTGGGTTTCTTGGAAAGTTACGAGTATGTTTAGCCATCTCAGACGTTTTTAAACAGGCAATTTCTTTTTTTTATAATTTTAAAAATATTTTGAGTTAGGATATACTTTTTGAAAAGTGTTATTGAAACGTAGCTAATAGTTTTTAGTATTCAAACATGTGACATATATACATGTCTATATCCCTGCTTCAGTTATTGTTTTAAAGGGCAAAAACTTAAAGGAAAAAAGAAAATACATTTTTCTTCATAAAGTTTAACTTTCGTAGTTGAAATTCATGAGTGCACAAATGCATTGCTTTTTCTGAAAGCATAAAATTAAGTCAAAGGCTCACTTCAGGGATTCTCATTTGCTGTCAGAAATAGAAAAACATTGTCTTCAGATGTAAATTTACATTAGTTGTGTGCTACTTCATTGAGTTTTTATGCAAGTAAGTGTAATAAGTCATTGACTTAGAGAATTCATCAGGGAGGATACTGAAGGGAAGAGATTGTCATTTGACAACTAACGCTAATTTAACCATACTATCTTTCTACCTAATAGTCTCTGGGTTGCTTTGAACTACCAGTTTAAAATGTTTGAGAATGTTTTCAGTGTGGGTTTGGTTTTTAAGGCAGTTCCCCTTTTTGTGTTTCTCCTATCCTGGCTAATGATTTGGTCTAAGTACAGCTGTATTCTTAATTCTTTAAAAAAGGAAAGTTCTTCTAAAGGAGTTTTTAAAAAGGGAAACAACTTTTTTCTAACTTTCCTGTGTTTGCTAACTTAACTTTTTCTTTGTTTCAGATTGAAGTGAGTGAATTTAACTCAACCTTGTTAGAGAGCTTTTTAAAAAATAAAACGATTCGGTGCATGAGAGCAAGTTACTGCTGCTTACCGTTCAGACTTACAGGTGCTTGCCTGCATTGCAATAAAGGACTCAATATTGAGCAAGACATATTTATCTCTTCGTTTTGGAGAGCCTAATAAACTGTTATTACAGTTTCTCTACTGACTTTCAAAGGTTTTGAAGTTTGAAAGAGACATCTTTACAATTAATACAGTATGAGCACGGCCAGAACAGAGAACCCTGTTATAATGGGTCTATCCAGTCAAAATGGTCAGCTGAGGGGCCCTGTGAAGCCTAGTGGTGGCCCCGGAGGAGGGGGCACACAGACACAGCAACAGATGAACCAGCTGAAAAATACCAACACAATCAATAATGGCACTCAGCAGCAAGGACAGAGTATGACCACCACTATTAAGTAAGTGTTGGAATAAATAATAAACACTTGGTGGCGGGGACCAAAGAAATTTCTATTACTTTGTTGTTGACGACTTTATGCCTTATTTTATCCATTTTGATTGCAAGTGGAGAGATGACTTTGTTTTATGGTCAGTAGATATTTGTAATAGAATTTTTTGCAGTTATTTGCAATATGGCCAATAATTTCTGCCATAATTCAGGTTTATTAATGAATATAGGCACAGATGATTTATATTTTGTGTAGATTATTTTTTTTAAACATTTCTGGCTTTCCTAAGTCAGATTCATCTTGTTTTTGCCACTGTGGCTTTTCCCTAGTATTGTTAACTGCACCTTACCCTAGTTTAAATGGCAGTTAAAGCCATTTCAAGTTTAAACTTTAAGGACTTGCCCAGCCTTCTGAACTCTAAACATACTCACAGAAAATTTATCTATAACTTTTAGTTTATGGAACTTTGCTTTTCTACTTTTTTTAAAAAAATAAGTTTTCTCCTTTTAAAAATAGCAAGCAGTTTTATATAGAGAACTCAGGAGTTTGAATTATTGGAAGCACACATCTCTGAATAGTCCCAACCCCCTTGTTGACTTTAAAACTCAAGAGCCTCATCTTATTACAGAATGTTTTCTTTTTAAATCTGCAAGTTTGTAGGTTATTATCTTTGTTCTGCTTTAAATTATTTAAATGGTAACCATTGCTCTAGAGAGTCAGTTAATAGAAAATTAACATTTAAGACTAGATCCCCATTTGAGGTTTGGCTTTGTTGTTAAGAATCTAGCTATGTACCTTGATTTAACGTATAGAAATCTTCTATGATGATGAAACTGGTCAATTGTACTAAAGTATGTTTTATTACAACTTAGATCTTTTCCATGCCTCCAAGCAATTCCTAAAGAAAAATAGCCTTTGTAAGCTACCAGGATATCATAGATGGTTACTGCTATGTGATTCATTAGTGACCTATAAGAATTAATTTCCAGTAGAATCAGTTTGGTCACTGAGAGAAGTGTCATTAATGCATATTCTATTTTTTATAAAGGTGACCACATTACTTAGAATATTTTTTAAATTGCAGTTTGTCTTGGTGAAATATGAGTAGGCTAGCAAAATTTAGGCTATTTTTAATCCTTAAAGGTAGAAACAAAGCTGTATTATTTCATTATGAGAGTATTTTCTCCTTAAATTCTAATTTAAGACAACAGTGGATTTTTTTTTTCTTATTTGCCTCTCCTAGGATTAATGGTTTCTTTTCAGTTCTGTGGGTCTCTTAAATCTTACTTCAAATGTCATTTTTTCAGTGAAGGTTTCTAGATCCCATCAACTGTCTCAGAACTCTTCAACTACTTACCTATATTACTTATTTTCTCATTTTAAATACTTCGTTTATAAATTCCTCGTGGACAGAGTGCCTGCATTTTATCTTATGCATTTTTATTCATTATTACATTTAACAGTGTGGTAAGCTGGCCTACTACAATATTCAGCTGACATATTTGCTCAGAAACTTTGATGTGATATAGGCTGAGGTAAAAGGCTTTAGTAACCTTGGAATTGGTACCAGTTATCTTGTTAGAGTATCTTGGATTATGTGGGACCTAATTTTAAGTAAAATAAATGCTCATCTTTCTAAATCAAGACTCATGATGTTTGGGGGGCTCTGATTAAATAAGAGTCACTGTAATGAAATCAGTAGAAATTTTAAAGACAACACAATTGAAAGCATTGTTTGCTTTAGTGGCAGATTTTTTTTTCCTGTTAGATGCTTTGTATGTTAGAGGTTTTTGCCAGACCTAAAGATTTTTTAAATTATATTTTCCTTATTTTTTCTTTCATGGATTCATGTAAAAGATTAAGAGATGTTCATTAACAGCTAATATTGAGCTCTGTTTTGCCATACACTGTGCTGAGAGCTTTATATAAATTATTTGGTATAATTTTTAACTCATTTTATGTATGAGAGAATGGAAGCTTAGAAAAGTAAGAGAGTACTCGCCCTATTTAAAGCTTGATTTTAAACTCTAGTTACTAAGTTCTATCAAACTATTGCCATGCAGAAATTTGAAACCAGTGTTGCTAAAGCTTCCAGGTTTTTGTTTTTGTTTTGTTTTTAAGAAAAGCCAGAATCTGGACTTCTACACAAAATCTAATTTTAAATGTTGGCAACTGATTTAAATTAAAACACTACATGTAGGTCAAACAAAACACATGGGTTCCCAGTTGGGACAACAGTTGCACTATTGTTACACTGTACTGCTTCTCTTAAGATGGTTGCCTTATTCTTTTCTATCTTGATATTTTTTTTAATCCTCCCTGCATTGTTGTTCTTTGTAAGAAGAGCAGTTTTTCTAAAATTGTTTATCTGTTAACTATATTTTTAAGTAAAATGGCAATATATTAAACTTGCTGTGCTTCTTAGAACTTAATTATAATTGAGATGAATTATTTTCGTATTATTAGAATAGTGGTGCTCTGAATTCTGATACTTTAATTTTATTATATTCTCTAGACCTGGTGATGACTGGAAAAAGACTTTAAAACTCCCTCCAAAGGACCTAAGAATCAAAACTTCGGTAAGTTGGTTGTAAAATTCAAGTGGGAAATGGTGTGGGAACTCTAAAAGTGCAGTAGTTACTTAATAACAATAAGGACTATATGTTCACTCTTAAGTTGAAATGGTTGAAATAGTATAGATCATATATGATGAATTGTCAAAAAATTCCACTATTTGGAGGAATTATATTAATGTGTATCTACATACTGATATTGGGTTTGTATGTATGTATATCTTATTTAATTTATGGAATGCTTTTATGGTTTTTAGGGCATTTTCTCGAAATTCTCTTTTGTTCTCAGCACAGTAAGGTTCAGGCTAGGTATTATCTCCATTTTGTAGATGAGAACATGGAAGTTGAGGGGTTCTCTTATTAGCCCACTATTTTCAACCAGGGATGGTTTTTGTCCCCGAGAGGGTATTTCGCAATAGCTAGAAACATTTTTGGATATCACAGCTGTGGAAATGCTACAGGATAGCCTCTTAAAGAATTTTCTGGCCCAAATGTCAATATTGCTGAGCTTGAGTAACCCCATTTTAGACTAGGATAATTGTAGGCAGTGAGTGGTGCAGCTAGGGTTTAACTTGACATCTTGTGATTTGCAGTTCACAGCATGATTCTTATATAAAAATAACAGTATTCACTTGTCTTTAGAAGACCATCACCCCATGGTGGCCTTTTTCCAAACACAATCTTTAAATGGCTTGTGTGTGTTAGAGAGTGGTTATTCTTTAGAAATAGTTGAAATATATATCAAGGCAGACCTAATCTACATATATTTGTATTTCAAATGGGGTAAATAAAGAATTAGTTTCTCAAACAAACTTTCATAAGCATGCTAACTAGCAAAGGAATGGAGTTGTACTTTATTTGGTTGTTGTTTATTTGACTAGGATGTGACCTCCACAAAAGGAAATGAGTTTGAAGATTATTGTTTGAAACGGGAGTTACTGATGGGAATTTTTGAAATGGGCTGGGAAAAGCCATCTCCTATTCAGGTATGTTTCCCCTTTTTATCCTGTGTATAATGTTTGAGTTAAGCATTATGTGCGCTTTTTTTTTTTTTTTTCCCGATCTGCGGGGATGATAAAATGAACCAACATTTGTCTCATATGTACACACTCACCTATATATGTGCACATATACTTTCCTGGAACCTTTTAACGGTAAGTTACAAAATCATGGCCCATTATCTTTAAATATTTCAGTGTATTTCCTAAGAATAGGAATATTCTCTTGTATAACCATAGTACAGTTATTTTCTGTCAAGTTAATATTAATACAATATTTTAATCTCATCTGTCATTTGTATTCTGATTTTTAATTGACCCTGAAATGTCCTTTTTGCACTTTATTCCTTTTCTGTATAGGATCCATCCTTAGGATCAGGTATTACGTATGGTTGTTAACGTCTCTTTAATCTCTTTTAATTGTGAGCATTTCCCTGGTCTTTTATGACATTGACATTAAAAATACAGCCCCTTTCCTTTTTCAAATAGAACATTCCTCATTTTGGGTGTGTCTCATGTTTCCACGTGATTCGATTCAAATTACACGTTCTTAGCCAAAACACTGCAGAAGTCATGTTAGGCCTTTTCAGGACATCAGATCTGGAGGTATACACGGTGTCTGTTTGTTTCTCATTAGTGATTTTAATTTTGATTATTCTGTTGGTGCGTCTGATTTCTACTACAAATTCACTGCTTATTTTTCTTCTCTTGAAACTAATGAGCAAGCAGTCTATAGGAAGCACTTTAAAATTGTGCAGATCCTACTTTCCATCAAAATTTCCCCTAGTCTTAGCATCCATTGATGAACTAATCTTTGTCCCACTCTAGTACTTCCTCCACATTGGCCTTATAAAGAAGAGCCTTCTCTTATCTCATACTTAGGTATTTATAAACTGTGGGCTCATGAATTCCTTTTTTTCCCCAATAATATTTTTGTGGTCAAACCTTCAGATTTGGCCAGTGAGAGCTCCTTCAAGCTGGTTCCTTTGTTTTTGTAAGATGGCCCTCTTTTTTTTCTGATAAGACTTTTTTTAGAGCAGTTTTAAGTTCATAGCACTTGAGCAAAAGATAGGGAGATTTCCCATAAACCTCTGCCCCTGCTCATGTCTAGCCTCTCCCATTATCAGCATCCTCCACAAGAGTGCTACATTTGTTATAACTGATGACCTACATTGACACATATCACCCAAATTCTATTGTTTACATTAGGGTTCACTCTTGGTGTGTTGTACATTCTATGAGTTTAAACAAATGTATAATGACATGTATCCACTGTTATAGTATCATGCAGAATAGTTTCACCACTCCAAAAATCCTCTTCTCTACCTCTTCACTCCTTCCTCCCCCCTTTTTCTTGAGCACTTCCTTTTATGGTACATCATGATTACACATTTACCTGTACCTACCCTGCCCCAGCATTGGATTCAGCTGTTTCTCCAGGAAACTTTGATTCCAGTTGGTGGGGAGTAGTATTAGAGACCAAGATCTGAGTAATAGGTGTACTCTTTGCTCCTTGGCCCTTTCAGTGGAAAGAGCAAGGGAATATGTGTATACATATATGTACATGTTCACATAAACATGCACTGTTCATTTATAGATTTGATAAACATGTCTGTTGTTTTATGTAAGTTAAGATGGTTGAATCCAAGCTGTACTAAGGACAAACCCTGTGACATCACTGAGCACTTTTTTGTTGACCAAACATTTGTTGAGTGACCTAAGAAGTTTTAGATACAGGGTGTTGTGTTGAACAAGGCAGATTGGGGTTCCTGCCCTCACAGTCTGGACAGCTAATGGTACAGATAATTTCAGTGTAACATAATGGGCCCCTTTCTAGTCAGAATTACACATATGTGCAGCCATTAGGCGAAGATGAAAAAACCTGGAGGAAGTTTTCTATGTTCCAAGCAGAAAACACTGTATCCCAGGGATTGTCTAGGGGCGAAAGTTTGCCTTTGTGGACAAACTGAAAGACGTGTTTATGGCTGGAGAAAGTACCAAGATAATGTTATACATCACCAGATAGGCAACTTGAGTGTAGATATTAAAATTATTTAGGAATCTTTTTTTCTATAATGTAGTTCACGTTAATCCATGAAACTACATTAGGAATGAAAACTCTTACAAGAGCTCTTCTGTAGGGTCTGTATCATTCAACTTTGTATTTCTAATATTTAGCAAGATATGTGACAGGAAATAGGCCCTCAGATGTTTAGTTGTATGTCGAGTGCTTTGATAACTTAGTGTAGAGAACTGTTTAAGGGCACTGGCTTTGCAGTCAGACTGCCCAGGTTGAATCCCAACTCCACTCCTTTCTAAGTTGATTATTTGAGATACCTTTCTGAGCCTCAGTTTCTTGACCTATAATATAATTGATATTATAGTATATGCCATGGAGCTGCTGTGAAGATTAAGTGAGGTGATTCATGTTAGTATACTTGATACAGTGCCTAGTATGAGATAAATGCTCAATAAACATTATGGATTATTAATTCAAATAATAGTTTTATCAGAAGAGATTAGTTCATTTAGCAGAGTTAATGGATCTTTGTTGGCTTCTTTTCTCACTTTTGTATTAAAATTGACTTTTTTTTTTGTGCTTTCAGTGTTAGTATAGCATATAGACAGTTAATTCTCTGGCCTACTATTCACTTTGCCTTTTCGCTGTTTTTCCCTGAGACTCTCTGGAAAACACGATAATGCGTTTCTTAGAGTTATTGAGTGTAACAAACGATAGGTTATTAGGATTTTACTCAAATGGAAATTTAGAAATCCTCTAGTAAAATCCAACCTCATGATTGGCTGCCTTCTATTCATTCTGTTCTTATCTACCATCTCTCCTTACTTGGTTTCCTGTTTGTTCCCCCCCGCCCCAAAATGTATCTGTTGTCTTCTGTCGTACTTAGTTTTACCTGGCATTTTTTCCCCCAAATATAAAAGCCTCCTTGATTAGATGGGTGTCATTTGCATTTGAATCTTTTGTAAGAGATAGAATTTAGTTGCAATTTGGCTGTAAGATTATTGGAAAATGAGTCATTTAAAATGATATTCTCTCAAAAGATTTTATACTAACAGGCTAGACCCAGGTATACTACAGTTTGCTCCCACACATCTTTTTGGTCATGCCATCTGTGACTCTAGTTAAAGTCTGAGTGCTGTGCTCAGCAGCATAACTATGCCATTGTTAAGACATAGCTTTATAGGAACACAGTCTTCTTTGGAGGGCATGAGAACCTACTGTTCTGCTTAATTAACATTGTGAAACACCTTCTATTAACTCTGAGATGATTAAGAGGTGACAGGTCTTACTGCTTCCAGACTGTAGGCACAACTTTTGAAGAATTTTTAGATAAGTGATGAATGTAAGGTAGTCTATTATTGGGGGAAATATAAAAGTTCCTTACTGTTGGCAACAAAGTTCCATATCAGGTCAAGAATCTCAAGTTATTTTGAGAAATCAAGTCTAATAATGATTAATAGTTTATTACTTATGGTTAGGAATTATAGCATTCTTAGTCTTTTTATAAATCATTCTTCCTGCTAACATGGATTTATTATGGCTAAAGGTTGTTTTTCTAAATCCCCCAAAAATCTTTAAATGCATTTCCCTGTTGATGACTATGGTAAATCGGGGTGTGTTCCTTAATTTAGAGATACTATTTTTGAAATTACTAGCTTCCATTTATTTCTAGGTAGCAACAGATATCTGACAGCCGTTGCTGTTTTCTCCACGATGCCCATATATTTCCTCCTGAAATTTAGGCTCTTAAGCCTAATGGCCATAGGAAGTAAAGAGCAGCAGCTATTCTAAAAGCATCTAGTTGGGCAGTTTTGAACTTTTTAGATACCATAGTTGAGTAAAATTCCTCTCAGTACTAGGAAAATGGAAAGTATATTATTCTTTATGGGCAACAGAAACCAACTTGGACTAACTTAAGAAAAAAAGAAACCTATCAGGAGTTTCCAAGATTAGGGAGAAGTCTGGAGAAACACACTTGGAATTAATTAGCCAAGAACTGAGGAAGCTCTGAAGGGCCTAGGAAGGTATAAGTTGTTGTAGGTTGCACTACAACAATTTAAATTCTTAGAAGGGAGCCTGGCCTCAGTCATTGTCTACCTACCATTTGGCTGAGGAGGTCGATTAGACTATCCAGTAGAGTGGAGGAGAGTAATTGCTCAGAAAGAAGTTAGGGTACGACTAAGAAAGGGATATGGATACTAGAGTAACCAGAACACATCAAATACATCACATATTGGATCGATCCCTAGACCTTACAGCTGAACCTGGACTTGGAAAGCTAAAGTGGCAGGATCAGACCTAAGGTTTAGGTTGGGTTATATTAAGATATATTAAGATTATCACACAGGTAACACATTTAAAGTATACAACTTAATTTTTTTGTGTACTCGGTTTTGCAGCCATTACTACAATTAATTTTAGAACATTATCACCCCCAAAAGAAATTACTTTAGCAGCCACTAATCTACTTTTTATTTCTGTGGATTTGCCTATTCTGGACATTTCATATAAACAGAATTACGCAATGTATGATTTCTTGTGGCTGGTTTCTTTGACTTAGCATTTTTTTTAGGGTTCATCCATGTAACATGTATCAATACTTTATTTCTTTTTATTGTTGAATAATGCATTATATGGCTGTACCACATTTTGGTTTAGCCATCAATTGGTTGTTTTCACTGTTGGCTATTATGAATAATATTGCTGTGAACATTTATGTACAAGTTTTATATGGAGATGTCTTCATTTTTCTAGGCTATATATCTAGGTGTGGAATTGCTGGTTCATATGGTAGACACTGTTCAACCATTTGAGGAACTGCTAGACTTTTCCAAAGTGGCTGTCCATTCCCACTAGTAGTGTATGAAAATTCTGGTTTCTCCACATTCTCAACTACGTGTTGTTATTTGCAGACCTAAGTTCAAATCATGGTTCTGGCATTTCTTGCTTTGTGACCTTGGGCAAAACAATCTCTCAGGATTCATTTTGTCAATTGTAAGACAAAAAGTACCTAACTTGAAGGGCTGTAAATAATATAAAGTATCTACCTAGCAGAGTGCCTAGCACACAGTAAGTTTTAAAGAGTTTTTAGCTTTCTTCCTTCTTTTTCTTCTTGGCAGCTTGCCATGAATTTCTCTTGGGTTTCAGAGCTCTCCGAGCCTAACTTTGAATTTGCTTCCTATTATTTATTCTTTCTAGGGAACAGTGGTAAGAGACTTTGGATGTGCTGAATTCCCTGACTACTAATGGGCCATCAAAAAGGCAAAGTATCAATGCATCTTAACTTACAGGCTAGCTAGCTTACTTTGTTAAAGCCTTATCCTTAAACAGTTTCTGTAGAATATAAGGCTTATCAGAGGAATGGAAGTCAGTGGCCTCAATAAATCAAGACAAATTCAAAGTGGGAATTGGGATAACCCCAATCTAATGCTACTGTACCTCACTTCATTCAAAAATTTTAGAGTTTTAAAGGACCTGACTCAGAAAGTCATTGGAAGACCCTTGGAGACCACCTACCCCTCTCTCCTCCCCCCCCTTTTTTTTCTGCTATAGAACCAAGTAGTGCAGGTACCCTATTTAAAAACCGTAGAAGAGAATGAACCACTGGGGGTAATGGGTCTCCAGAACAACTGAAGATTAACAGTTAACTCAAAATAGGAGGGAAGAGATTAAGACAGAATGGTTAAAGCCAAGATTTTTCTTCTTTGACCTGCTTTACCATAATAAGCAGACTGTTTAATGCTAATCACTGGACCATTTTCACAGTTCTGGCAGCTTATTATTGTGACCAGATGGAACCCATCTGACTCCTGTGATTGGAGTTCTAGGTAGAATTAGCGTCATGGTGGGAAATGGAAGTCGTTATACTTATGACTTTGGTATTTCTACAATAAAATTTTCAAAGTGCTAGAGATAGTTGTTTTGATCATTAGCGCAGGCATAGAACTAATTCTTGCAGTGATTATGAATCTCCTAATTTATTTTCCTAATTTTTTAGTTTTAGAAATTAAAAATTTTTATTTAGAAACAAATGTTCTCCTTCCTCCTTATTTATACCTGTTCTGCCTTTTTAGTTTGTCTCTGTATGTGTAATTTTCAGTAATTGTTGGAAATCCTTTGTTATTGTGTAGGAAATTTGTCCTGAATTATAGGAAATACTGCTATCTTCCACGAAACAAACTTGATGAAGTAAGCTAAATAGGAAAATGAGAGTCACCTTTAGTGATGTGACCATGGATTGAAATAACTGGAATAGATCATTTGAGCACGTTTCAGGACAGAGAAGTTGGCTATGAGACAGACATTAGAGGTTTATGTAATATAACAAATAGCATATAGGACCTGTGGTTTAACTTTTCCAGCCTTTTTCTGCTTTGTGCAAAGATAAGTTGTCCAGGCTACAATTTTTCATTGTAAAATTGGCTTATTAATCTTAAAATAACATATATAGTCTTTCCTTTGTATTGTTTGTGTCATTTTTTTCCTTCAGTTTTTAATTGTGAAATGTCTTATGCTTTTTACCTGTGAGCTGAAGATCCTCCTCTTTCTTTATTGTCAGTGCTCAGCTTCCTTAGCCCATATACGCACTCACATACACACTCTCATATGTAGTTTTTTCTGTTTTTTTTTTTTTACATTGGGATACAATTTACTGTATATTCTATGAGCAGTTTTGGTAAATATCGGTTGATAATGATGGTGATGTTAACTGGTCCTGCTAATTTACTTGGTCTCTACTTACAGAATGCAAATGTAAGACACTTTAAAGCAATACTGAAGAGGTATACCTTTAGCATATTTTAGAGAAGAATTTGCTTATGAACTTTTTATTCACAGTTAATTTGCATTGTCTTATAGGAGGAGAGCATTCCCATTGCTTTATCTGGTAGGGATATTTTAGCTAGAGCAAAAAATGGAACAGGCAAGAGCGGTGCCTACCTCATTCCCTTACTTGAACGGCTAGACCTGAAGAAGGACAATATACAAGGTTAGTTTGTTTCAATTTTTTAAATGGCGGTTTAAACCTTAGAACTATGTAAAAGTTCTTTTTTAGTCAGAATTTACATAGTCTAGAATTAATATACCCTTTTTACAACTTTTAAAACAGTTTTGACAACATTCCAGTGAGATACAGAAACGCTAAGATCATGAGAAGTTAAATTATCTGATGTTGCTACTTGTAAACTGTGGAACTGAATTGTTTTTGTGACAGCTGTGTTTCTGTAAGTTCCTTGTAGAAACATGAATCTTATTAAAGCCTTTGGTTTTGGAATTTTAAGAGCTTAGGCAATAGGGAAGAAATAAATTTCCATAGTCATACTCCGAGTAAGCTAACAGAGCTTTCACCTTTAAAACATTTTATTAAATTTTCAGCTTTCTTGATCTGTAATTATCATTTATCCCATCTTCCCTTTATCTTCTTTCATATACTAGAAACGAACCTAGGCAGCAGGAGTTTTCCTATTTGGGTGTTAGAGAGTCTCCTACTGGAATATTAATCTAATAAGCTTTGAACTAATGGTTGCAAACTCAACCCTTTAAAGGTTTGTAACTACGAGTAGTACAAGATTTGTGTAGCAGTATTGTCATGAGAAAGCCTGAATCCAGAACATTACTAGGTTCTCTTTTTTAAAAAAATTTACTCATTTGACATTGTAGAATTGGTTAGGCCTATTATGTTTTAACTTTTAATATGTCTCAGTATCCACATTGCAAGGGGCAGTATTTCTGTAGCTTCTTAAAGTCTCAGATGTATTTTTTTTTTTTCTCTTTTCTCTATTGCTTGATATTTTCCAGCAATGGTGATTGTTCCCACTAGAGAACTTGCTCTACAGGTCAGTCAAATTTGCATCCAGGTCAGCAAACACATGGGAGGGGCCAAAGTGATGGCAACCACAGGAGGAACCAATTTACGGGATGACATAATGAGGCTTGATGACACAGGTAGGAAATGACTAAGGTGGTTTAGCTCTCTGAGTGCAATTTCACACACAAATTTTTCCTTTCAGTAACTTATCAAAAAATTGTTTTTAAGAATAAGGACCAGAAACACTGCAGTAGAAAAACGAATAAAGGAAAAGACAGTCTCATTCAAGAAAAAAAGACAAATGACAATAATTGAAATAGTATTAAACCTTGACAGTAACTTTTGAAAATGTAAATAAAAGCAGCAAATTGATATTATGCCTATATGACTGGCAAGGCAAAAAAAACAGTAACTAGCAATGTGAGTTGGTGGAGAAATAGGCTGTCTTTTGCAACATGGAGGTATAAATTGATGCAATTGCTGGTGGGCAAGATGGCATTATATTTCAAAATTATAAATGTATATTTTCAAGAATCTTTCCTAAATAGCACATGCAAGGTTGTTCACTACAGTGTGGTTTGAAGTACTGAAAAATTGGAACAATCGAAATATCAGAGGAGATTGGCTAAATACATGGGGATATTATCTGAATGGAATTCCACACAGCCATTAAAGAATGAAGCTGATCTGTATCAGTTTTTATGAAGAGTTCTCCATGATACATTATTCGAGTGGAAAAGGATAAAACAGCAAGAATGAGATCCACTTATGTAAAATTATACATAAAACTTATGATTGTCATTAGCTTAATTGCTATATTCATACTGCATAGTTATTGAAAATGATTATCTCATTTGATCCTTTTAACAACCTTTTGAAGACCTTTGCTCTAGTTTATAGACAAACTACTATATCAGAAGCTTGGTATGCCTTTTGTTATTCATTAGGGATTGTCCTAAAATAAGGAAATATGCTCCTTACTTGGAGCAGGTGATTTTGGAAGCTGTATCCCACCCGTTATAGAGGTGAAACAAACAAGTTTTCTCTAGCCAACCTAAGATGAAATGGAAATCTATATCCTGAAATACATCTTTGCTTTTTTATACTACAGTAGTCACCCTTTTAACCATGAGGGATGTGTTCCAAGATCCCCAGTGGATACCTGTTTTGGAACCATGGATAGTACGAAACCTTGTATATACTATTTTTTACCTATACGTGACTATGGTAAAGATTAATTTATGAATTAGGCATGGTAAGCGATGAACAACAACTAGTAATAAAATAGAACAGTTATAGCAGTATACTGTAATAAAAGTTATGTGAATGTGGTCTCTCTGTTCACATCTACTACCTATAACTTTAATACCTTTTCCATCTTAACTAAGCATTTAACATGTACGGTGCCTGTAATTCTCATTTTGAGGTGCAACAGCAAAATTAGCACAAATATCTTTTTTTTTACACAGCTTCAAGGATACAAGATTGATTCTTACTATAGATTTTAGCATATAATTTTTTTCATAATTATGATGTTGAGAACTTTTACCTTTTAACTTGAAGCACTTTTCCAGCTTTCCTTTGGCATATTCCAAATTGTTAGTATCACCCTCTTGTGATTTGGGCCATTTAATTAAGTAAAAAAAAGTTACTTGAACACAAGCACTGAGATAACCACAACAGTCAATCTGACAATTTAGACAGCTACTAAGTGACTAACAGGTGGCAGGTAGTGGATACACTAGATAGAGGGATGCTCTACATCCTGAAGGTGCAAGATTTTATCACGCTACCCAGAACAGTACTCAATTTAAAGCTTAAGAATAGTTTTTTCCTGGAATTTTTCATTTAATATTTTCAGAGTGCTGTAACCATGAGTAATTGAAATGGTGGAAAGTGAAACTGTGCATAAGGAGGGACGACTGTATTCCTGCCTCTGAAATGTTTCTGATTAAATGCCTATATACAAACCTTTACTATATATCCTTTTTACCTGAGCTAAAATTAATGAGGATGTGTTTTCTAATGTTGTGTAGTGCATGTGGTGATAGCTACCCCTGGAAGAATCCTGGATCTTATCAAGAAAGGAGTAGCAAAGGTTGATCATGTCCAGATGATAGTCTTGGATGAGGTAATATCTCTTCATTTGGAAAGATACTATTCTGTATTATTCTCAGCTTTGTTTATAACTGTCAGTGAGTGAAACAGAAGTTCTTTTTGTTCATGAACTTTTAAAGAAACGCATGATTTTTGTCAGTTCAAGCTAATTTGCTTATAAAACATACTTTGCCCTTTAAAGGCAATAGATGATAGGTATTTATAAGAATAGGTTAGCCTGCGTCTTCCTTAGAGATGCCAGATAGTTTGGGTTTTATTTTTATTTTTCAAGAAGAGTTGTTGAATAATCTCAAAGCCAAGTTCCTTCTAAGTCTCTCTTCATTCGGTGATACATCTTAAAAAGCATGTAATGCCTCTAACACCTCATTTAGCATACACCATTTTGTATTGTTTGGTTTTTCAGTCTGGTAATGTGTTATCTCAATCAGGTACATTTTAAGAACTTACTCCATTCTGTATCCTTGGGCTCTAGTAGTTCATACCTAAAGTATATCAGTGTTAATGTTTTGAAATAAAGTTACTTTCTTAATTGGTCTGCATTTTAGACAACTAGATCAGATCGATCATGTTATAATTCACATTTTTTTTTTTGAGTAACGAGAGATAACATTTAATTGCTACGTGCTAACACTAAGTGCTTTACGTGATTTTTTTCATTTAATTTTTGCAACAGCCCTGTAAAATGGATATACTATAAAGTACTTACTACAGTGAGCACATATCCTAATTTAAAAATTTTGGAATCTAAAGTATTGATTAAAGTAACCTCCCAACATAGCAAGTAAATTGAAGGAGATAGATTTCAATCCAGGTAGCTGGATTCTGCAGCTTGTACTTTTAACCACTGTACTATACTGTCTCTGTAATGGAAATCACATTAAAATTTACAGGAACAAGGATTATATCTGTCTAGGATTTTTTTTTCTGTATAAGATGGGTATTATAGACTTTTCCCCTTCTGAATCACTGGGAATCTGTCTTGGTGCTATTGGATTATGCAGTGTTGTAGAGTACTTAACTGTTTATAATCAGGAACATTCCATGAATGCTCTTATTGGATAATGCCTTATTAACCAAAGACTTTAGACATTATTTGATTGTTTTAAAAATTGTCTTATCTTTGTACTGCAGGCAGATAAGTTGCTGTCACAGGATTTTGTGCAGATAATGGAGGATATTATTCTCACGCTACCTAAAAACAGACAGATTTTATTATATTCTGCTACTTTCCCTCTTAGTGTACAGAAGTTCATGGTGAGTATAACTCTATACTTGGAAGCAGTGTCATCTTGTCGCCCATGAATATACCTTTGTCCATAATTACATCTTATCAGTCTACTTTATGCTGATTATTTCAAGTTTTTGGCTTTTTAGCTGATGAATTAAGGTTTGTCATGCATACATTAACTTTTTAAAGCTACAGTAATTTGATTAATTTCTTCATTGTTCACTTAGCTTTTGGTTTCAGGCAGACATAGCCGTTGATGCTATGTAATTGATTACAACATAATCCTATGTACAAAGTACAAAATAGTAACATAGCTACGTATCTGTATATAAATGTTAGATCTTCCTTTTTATGGTTTTTTTCTTCCGTGATGGATTGTGATACTTGTTTTGAAGAGAGTATTCCTTAAAGCAGGACTTTATCAGACAGAGATGTGTAGCATATATTTTGAAGAGATACACTCTGCTTTCACCAAAGTATAAGGCTCTTTTTAAATCTTTTTTCCCAGAATTCCCATTTGCAGAAACCCTATGAGATTAACCTGATGGAGGAACTAACTTTGAAGGGAGTAACCCAGTACTACGCATATGTAACTGAGCGCCAAAAAGTACACTGCCTCAACACACTTTTCTCAAGGGTAAGTAATAGGCTTCAGCTGCTTAAATTACCCATTCCTTAACCCCAATAAAACAGACAATTGTATTCGGTTTCTTACTGCTTTCAGTGTTTTAAAAAAGTACTTAGCTTTTCCTAAAAGGCAGTTACAGTTGATCTGAAGTTTGTAGTAAATGGTTGATAAGTCATAGGCATTTTTAATTCTAATTTGACCTTAATTACAATCGATCCTCATTATTTGCAGATTCTGTATTTGCAAACTCGCCTGCCTACTTGCCAAAATTTATTTGTAACTACAAAATCAATACTTGGGTGCTTTGGAAGTCATTTGTGGATATGTATAGCATGATGAAAATTTTGAATCATTGTGCATATTCCCAGCTGATGTTGAACAAGGTGACACTGCCTTCTTGTTTCAGCTTTCATACCATTGTTCTTTTCATGGTCTATTTAATGCCACAGTTTTTGCATTTTTGTGCCTTTTTTTATTGATTTCACTGTTTAATATGGCTCCTAAGTTTAGTGAAGTGCTTTCCAGTACACCTAAGTGCAAGAAGACTGATATGCCTTGCAGAGAAAATGCATATTACATAAACTTTGTATAGGCACAAGTTATAGTACTGTTGGCCATAGATCTTTAAATAGTAACACATAAAACAAGATTATCTGTTGACTGATGGGAAAAAAAAGTATGACTAGAGGCTCACAGGAAGTACCTTGTGTTTCTCATAGGAGCAATGGTTCTGTATTCACTAATCTAGTGTTTGCAGCAACTATAGAGCATAACTATCGCAAATAATGAGAATCGGCTGTGTTTTATTCTCGCTGACAATCGTGCCCTTATGAAATATACTTTTCTACAGTGAAACTTATAAATTATTACCTTCAACTACTAAGTAAATGAATAGTATTTACAGTAATTTTTACAGTGTTCCATCTCTTGTATCAAAAGGTTCTAAGTCATAGACCATTTTTTTTACATTTGTTTGCCAGTCAATACTTTCAAAATGTGCAAAGTAAATGAAGGTTTTTTTTTTTCTCATGTCTCCCTTCTACCCCATGCTCAGCTTCAGATAAACCAGTCGATCATTTTCTGTAACTCCTCTCAGCGAGTTGAATTGCTAGCCAAGAAGATTTCTCAACTGGGTTATTCTTGCTTCTATATCCATGCTAAAATGAGGCAGGTGAGTGTAAAACTAGAACTTACACAGATTTAGAAAAAAATTTTTTTAAGTATTTCTTGGATTTTTGTTTTAATGTACCTCCAGGTGCCCAGAATTTAGAATAAACAATTCTTTAGTAGGTGAAGGACCCTTCATTTTAACGCAGGGGTCCCCAACCCCCGGTGTGGACCGGTACTGGTCCGTGGCCTGTTAGGAATCAGGCCACACAGTAGGAGGTGAGCAGTGGGCAAGTGAGCAAAACTACCTGTATCTGCAGCTGCTCCTCAGCTCTAGTATCACCACCTCAGCTCCACCTCAGATCATCAGGCATTAGATTCTCATAGAAGCACCAGTCCCTAGCGCCAAAAAGGTTGGGGACCACTTTTAAAATCTTGTGGGTTCAGTTTTCTAATTATAAAACAGGGATAGTAATATATATTCTTATCTCATAAGGTTGTTAGGAAGATTGAGATAATGTACAAATGAGTACTTTGTAAACTGTCAAGCATGATACAGATGTGAGATTTTACTCCCTTCTTCCTCACATACTCTCTAGATTTGCATGAAATAATACAGTAACCACTAGTCACACATGGCAATTTAAATGAGTTAAATAAAATTTAGTTTGTCACACTAACCACGTTTCAAATGCCAGGGTATGTCATTAGCAGCTATAGTTTTGGAAAGTACAGATACAGAACATTTTCAATGCAGAAGGTCTATTGGACAACACTGCTCTAGATATTTAATAGATCAATATACCTCATTAGCTCAAATATCCTTTTACTATTTGCCTTAGAAAGAATGGAATCTTTAAATTTCAGAATTTAACAGAAAATAAATTCAAAAGTATGAAAAGATAACCTTTTGTGTGTGTGCGCTAACTGTAATTGACATTGCATGAAGAAATGGTTTTTGTAAACTTAATCAGGTTAAGAACTTAGTCAGCTCACATTTGGTTTTCAAAGAACATAATGTCATGGATCAGATACCGTCATGTAGGCACCAAATATTTGAAATTATCACAGGAAATGAATATATTAAGCTGAAGAGAATGTTTTTAAAATGGAAGAACATTGCATTGAAAATATAAGCCATTTTGCTAGAAGCTAGATTTATTATTTATTTATTTATTTTTTAAATTTTTTTTTTTAGGTGAGGCAACCTTTGGTTGACCTCAAGTTGCAAGGACCTTGTCAGCTTATAAGCCCTTATTTTTTTTTTTATTTAAAAAATGTTTTTATGCCTACAGCACCTGGTCTTCCTAGGTGGTCTCCCATCCAAGTACTAACCAGGCCCGACACTGCTTAGCTTCCGAGATCAGACGGGATTTGGGCTTGTTCAGGGTGGCATGGCCATAGACAGATTTGTTATTTTTCCTATAGTCATTGTGTATGGGTTTTTTTTTTGTTTGTTTATTAATTGGAAAGTAGTTATTTTTAGCTTTTGTATATAATTACTAAAAAGGTAAATAGATGTTTCGGTGAAGCCAGACTTTTGGCATCTTCTGTTTGAAACATTTTAAAAGTATGTATATAAAAATGTGGTGAAAATTGTCACTTAAAATCTATTCTGGCAAAAATATAATACTTTTTTTAAGAGTTAAGATAAACACTACATATGGATGGATATGCATAGATGTAGATTAAGTTGCTTATTCCCATGAAAAACCAATGTATGTGGGGTTTTTTACCTTTTATTTTTAATTTATGTATTGAATTGTCTTATCTCATTTGTGTAAACAAGTTTTGTATAGGAGAAATAATGGAAAATTTGGTTCTCGAGTGTGTGTGTTAATCAAATCAAAAAATGCATCGCTTTGTTCCTAGGAACATCGAAATCGTGTGTTTCATGATTTCCGAAATGGCTTATGCCGCAATCTTGTTTGCACTGGTAAGTATTTTCTATTTCCTTTACCCAATGTTTTTCTCCCTGGTTCAGCTCGGCTTTATCTGTGCGATATTACTCAGCAGAGTCTATGACATAGGCTACTACCACTTCTAGAATTTCAGAAGGTGAGAATGAGCTGTAGTTAATTCTTGAAATTAGGTTCCATATCTGAAACTGCAGAAGACTTTTTCTGGCATTCATACGTCATCTACTTTTTAAATTAATTTTGGGATTTGTGTGTTTTCTGAATAGTTTTAGCATTCAGGAATGAATTACATATAGCATATGCAAAATGAATTTTATTAAGAAACTGTGTTTTGGAAATTGTTTATTGTGGTCTTTTTAGTTTTTGCTGGAAACAGACTAGTCTGTATTTTGTTATATTTTACTACATGAAAAAAAGCAGTGGAGAGGCAAGTGGACAATTAGATCAGACAAAGCAAATGGATTCAGTATCCTCCCGTCTCTGGAAATATAATCTTGTATGGGATTAATAATATAAGCTAGGCTTCTAAGTAGAGAGAAGAACCTAATTTTTTTTTTTTTAATTTTTAGGCATACACATAAATAATAAGTATATTATTTGAATTTTTGCATAATTTTTCATAATTTGTATACTTTGCAAAGGAAAGTATGCACTCATCAGCACCCAGATCAAAATTTAGAATATTTAAAAATCTTTAAAAACACTGCTCAAGAAATAAAACTTATTTTTCTCAAAAAAAGACTGTCAAATATCTTGCATATTTCCAGTTTATCTTGTTTCTCTGCTTTAACATCTGAAAGAACAGTTAATATAGCTGTGAGTTAATACATTTATGTTTACTTTTATCAACATTTCTGACCTTTAAATGTGTTGAAGTATCCAAGATATAAAATATTTGATTTAGTGGAAGGAATACTACACTCTTAGAATTTTAAGATTTGGGTCCAGTTTCTGTTTTCTGATCTCTAATCATATGACCTTGGGCAAGTTATATTTTTTATGCCATTTTTTAAATCTGTGAAATGGGGATGCTTTAAATTGTTCTGAACAAATATCTGTTACAGTTTATTCAAAAAATATGTGTTGATATTCAGTATTTACTCCTTGCCAGCTACTTAGCTAGGTGCTGCAAAAATATATGCTTTCCAGTTTTATGTGATGTATATTTTACCACCATTAAAAGGAAATTAAATATATATACCGACGTTCCCTGTATGTAGGGAACTTATAATCTAGATGAGGGAGAAGTATAACTATATACATGTAAAATACCACTCCTTTCTTCAAGGAGCAGTGGTTTAATGAGAGATAAAAAAATAACATTTAGAGTCTAAGGCAGGGCCAGCACACTTTTTCTGTAAAGTGTTGGCTAGTAAATATTTTATACTTTGCAAACCATGTGATCTCTGTTACCAATTAACTCAGGTCTGCCATTCTGACTCAGAAACACTCAGCATAAACAAATGGTCATGACAGTGTGGCAGTAAAATTTAATTTATAAAGACAGGCCTTGGGCTGGTTCTGTAAGGGGGTAAAGGTAATTTGCAAATGTGAGGTATATACACAGTTGACCCTTGAACGACATAGGTCTGAACTGCATAGATCTACTTAATATGTGGATTATTTTTCAATACAGTAAATGTTTTTTCCTTAAGGTTTTCTTAACATTTTTTTTAGCTTTATTGTAACAATATAGTGCATAAAACACATTACATACAAAATATGTGTTAATTGACTGTTTATGTAATTGGTAAGACTTCCAGTCAATAGTATTACTAGTTAAGTTTTGAGGGAGTCAAGTTATATTTAGGTTTTGACTGAGTAGCAGTCAGCACCCTTAACCCACCCCCTGCTCGCCTGCATTGTTCAAGGGTCATCTGTATTAAGTAATCCTAAATTTTAAGAGAGGTAAATAATGAGCTGAGGTTATCTGAGAATAGATGGAATTTTATTGGGCTTCATAAGCTAGTTTCAGACTTGTAGAAGAGGGAATTTTTAAGTTAAGGGACTGCTACAAAAAGTGATCCATGGAGGGCTAAGAAGATAAGTCCAAGGAAGGATAAATGGATGAGTTTGGTAGAGAGGAAAATTTGAGGAGATGTGGTAGGAGAGGTATGTTAAGTAGAGAATAGGACGTCAAATATCAATTTTAAATTTTATCTGGAAGCAATTTAAAGCAATGAGTTATAAATACAAAGCAGTATTTTAGAAATACTATTCCGACCATCATGGATTATTTTGTTGGAGTGTGGAACTGATAGAAGCAGGGAAACAGTTATTGTTGTTTTTTTTCTATTTGTAGTTTTCAGAGCCTAAATTAGCAAAGTAATTGTGGGACTAGAAAAGAATAGAAAGGATGGCCTTGCATATTAGCTTACCCCAGACCTATTGTAAATCATTTAATGGAATGGGATGAATGAATTCTCAACAAAACAAATACTTGCTGCTAGTGTATTACCTCTTTTTTTTTTTTAAGTATTCTAAGTTAATAACAAACTTCTAAAAAATAATTTGCTATTTAATCTTAAGTACTAAAAATAGACTAAAGAAAATTACTGATTATTCCTGAGACTCATTTATGAGTTTATAGTTTACTAATTAATCCTCGTCTCTTCCTGCATTCACCTTAGACCATTTTCTAAAACTTTCTTACAGAACTAGGAAAAGGTAACTTGTGAGCAAGAAGTTACTTATGATAGTATACATGAAAAGTAATGTAATTTGCAAATGCATTTGAAATAATGAAGTGAATAAACCTAGGTTGTACTAGAAATACATATTAAAGAGTATTATGGTACCAGGAAGCATTTTTAAATGCTTAAAGATTGAAAGATATAATGGAGTCTTTTTTTTTTTTTTTTTTTTAAGATTTGTTTACCCGAGGTATTGATATACAAGCTGTGAATGTGGTAATAAACTTTGACTTTCCAAAGCTGGCAGAGACCTATCTCCATCGTATTGGAAGATCAGGTGAGGGGAAAAAAAATGTTCTTTGTGGAAGTTTTTTGAGAAGTTCAATCACTGTTTTGTTCCTTTGTGACATAGAGTATGGTGAGAGAATAGTGAATTAAAACTAATTTAGTTGTTCGATAGTCTAACTTCTAGTTTTTCTAGAACACTTATTAAAAGGTAAATAAAACCATGTTTATTTAATCTGAGATGAAATTCACAAAGGAGAACCTGACTCTTCTCATTAGGTTGTGCAATCTATTACTACTGTTTAGTATGTGTATTTTGGCAACTTTGACACAAACATCAATTTTGTCATTTGAAAAAGGTAAAATAGAGTACTACTACTTTGGGCTATGAAACCTGAAGCTGTGGAGTATTGTGTTTATGAGGAGACCAGAAAACGTGGTTTCATATACCTAGAATGGCACTGAACAAAAAATATACGTTAACCCAGTGTGATTTTGACACTTAACAGACTTGCGCATGCACATTGATCCTCATTTAACTCGTTTTATTATTGATTCAAAAATGTTTTCCGTTAGGTCGCTTTGGTCATCTTGGCTTAGCCATCAACTTGATCACATATGATGATCGCTTCAACCTGAAAAGTATTGAGGAGCAGCTGGGAACAGAAATTAAGCCTATCCCAAGCAACATTGACAAGAGCCTATATGTGGCAGAATACCACAGCGAGCCTGTAGAAGATGAGAAACCTTAACAAGCATGTGCGTACCCTACAAAGTAGTTAAAGTGAGCGTATTGTTTAAAGAAAGGAAAGAAATCAAGATCCTCTTTCCTGGGGAAAATTTGATGTCTAATGTAATACAGGGTAAAACATTCGTTGGCATAAATGGGAAATATCTTTTCCCATGAAGTTTGTGGTCTCATAAGAGCATCTGTAAATGCTGTTTTTAAATGCAGTCTTCTTAAGTAATGTGAAATGCGAGCAGTGCTAAGTCAAATTCAGACTTCTAAAATGAAAGCAGAGAATCTTTTTTAGTAATTTTGAATGTGAAAATAATTTCTATTTTTTTCCTTTATTGCTCAGTCATCTCTCTGTTAGCATTTCACTCTTAATTTCTGATGGGTACCTCAGTAAATCAGGTTAAATTACCTATAATGACTTATTGCCAAATATAATCAGATTATGAGGATAACTATTTTTTTTAATGCTCACTCTGGTTTTTTGCACCACCCTCTCATGTTGTCTTTTGGTTGACTTTTGGGCTCTGGTAGAAATGCTCAAAACAAGTCTTAACATACAGGAATGTTGACTATTCTGGAGTTTTTTCCTAAGGAAAATCTTTTTGAGAGATGTTGGTTTCCAGATTCACAATGAGCATTTTACTACCTCTTGTTTGTAGATCTTTCAAATTACTCTTTTCACTTTTCACTTTTTTTTTTTTATTCTAATTTAAATGTCAAACAAAATTCTCACACATAAAACCAGCCTGTTTGGTATTATATTAGCAGGCTACTTATTGAGTTCATGTAAGGTTTTAAAAAAATTTTTGATTTAGTTGTGAATGATTACTGTCTGTTACAAGAACTTTCAGGCGCTTATTCTGTCTCTAGAATGCCTGGCAGAAATTCCTAAATCCTGCATGAATTCTGCAGTAGACAAAGGCTCAGTAGAAGATACTACAGAGAACATTAGGGATGGGGATTGTGAAAACCTATATACCCTAGTTCACATTGTGCTTTCATAAATGTTAATTTTAAGTTTCTTCTTTCTTTAGGCTTTGACAAACTACAGAAGGCTCGTTCGGATCTGTGACACATTTTTTGGGGGGGAGGGGTATGCTCTTTGTGGGTTTTTCATGTTTTATTTTGGAACTATGAAGACTTAAAAGAGCTCAGACTTTTTTTTTAAACTGGTGAAGAGAAAAAAGCTGAAAAGAAGGAATTTACCTTTTTTGTTCCACTTGTTTGCACTGTGTGCTGACTGAACATTAGTTGCACTAACTGCTAGTTTTTAAAAAATGTTTTCTGGGGAAGGGGGACAAGGAAGGAGGAGAAAGAAGAGAAGGGGAGAAACCCTAAAAAGAGAAGAATCTTGATGAACACACAAGCTTGTCTGCAATTTCAAAATTCTCCAACAGCTGACTCTTGAGTGCATTTCAACTTCTCCCTGATTACTCATCCGTTTTTTAAGCCTGAAGAGCTTATTACTTATTTGTGCGAAGTGCCTTATGCTATGAGACCATTCAGAATATCTTTTAGATACAGCCCAAGGAATCAACAATAGTAATTTCTTTCCATTTTTCTTCCTTTCTTTTTAATTTTTGTCTTTTCCTTTTGATTTTAAGGTGAAGTCTCTTCCCTTTCTACCCAATACTCAAGCCCAGGGCTAGAAGATGAAACGTATTAGTAATGTTAAACACCATTTTTTTTTTCTTTATGTGGAGGAGTTGATATGCAACTGCATTTCATTCGCACTGTAAATACATGTATTTAAAAAAACAATCCCAAGTAAAAATTTCTTCTGGGCTGAGTAGATGCACCATCATTGCTCCCAAAGGAAAGAGCAGTCTATCATTGCAGGAGCCATATGACAAGCCTTTGTGCTCTATAGCAGAACACTAAAGACTGGTTTACATACGCCTCCATTAGCAGTTATGGCACTTGATGTGTAGACATGTCAGCCTTGACCCTCTTTCCTCTGTGGCAAAGCGTGTCCCATAGAAAATTGGGTGTGTATACTTGTATAAACTTTGTAAATAAGTTTTTTTCTGGGTTCATATATATATATACATATATATATATTTTTTTTTTGGATGAAGGTTGCTGGGATTAAGGGGATTAGAGTGATTATGGGAGCAGCTAAAGATGAGAGGGGCTCAGTTTTCCGCAACACTAAATTCTAAAAAGTACTTTGGCCTCTTACTGTAGAGAGCAGACCTCTTGGGGACCATAGGTTAGAAAAGGGACCCAGAAGTCTGGGATTCAGTGTTTGCTGCCACACTGTCTCCTCTAGTACTTTTGGAGGAGGCCTGCCAGAAGGAGCAAGGAAGCTTCAAAAACCTGTAATTAAAGGTATTATTTTCGAGAAGCTCTCTGATTTTGCTTTTCTCTTTTTAAAAAGTTTGAGGAACTTTTCAAGCTTGGCAAAAGGGGACAAAAATTAGTCTGCCTTGCAGTGTGGAAATTTAATTGAGTGGCAGTGTCTGAGCAGTGTATGTATAAAGCATGGATTTGCATTTCAGAATATTAGCCGGTACCAGCTTTGGTAACGTTAGCAGTTCTGGGGCTTACTTTCTGTGGATCACCTGTACTGTGTAATAAGTGTGTTGCCTTCTGCCCACCTTGATACATAAATTTGCAGGAATGGGCACCCTGAGAGCTATTAACGTTCATGCTGCAGAAAGCTGCTTGTCATCCTCTTTGTGACAATAATTATTTGTCATTTTGCATTGTAAATTGCTGGCAAATGGCTTTACAATGAATAGTGTTGCTTTAAATTGTGCCCCTCCCAACATGCTTGATGTTTGGCCTGATCTCCAGGCAAAAAGAGTGAGATGAATCAAAACCAGTGAACTTTTTTTTTTAATGTTTTTAATTCCCCTTTAACCCAGTGTACTAGGTCAATCAGGAGGCATCTAGGGTTAAAAAAAATAATAAAAAATAAAATGAAAAAAATTTTTGATTTCCATATCCCATTGTTTTTTAAAGCCCTAAAATACTACAAGGTAAGTCATGCATATGCTTTCGTGCTTAACTCATCTGGATAAAGAAATCAGTTATTCAGAGTTGCTTTTTTGACTGTCTAGTTCTAAGCAAAAACTATATGTGACTCACCCAAAATTCCTTGAGAATCAAAATCCTGCAGATGCCTCCTGATCAGACATAGCCCTAACTCCTTAAAAACTGTAGCAGGAGCTGCACAGTACAAACTCAAAAAAGAATAAGCTCATTTATTTGGTATCTAAGCCACATCGGTTCTTCTATCTAGCCAATGTTGGCTATTTAAATACAAGCCCTAATAAAGGAAGTAAGTTTTCTTCCAGGGAGGGGTGGGGGGAGGGAATTTAAAAGGCATCAACTTTCGACCAAAAATATCTTGCCCTTGTACTGATGCAGCTCTTTCTCGCCCACCTCTGACAAGATAAGAGGGATCATTCATTGTAGAAAAGCAAGAAAACTCATAAATACAATTTTGTATCTTGTGGGAGAGTGGGTGACTAAACAGCTCAGTCCTATTTGCTATCCTCAGACTAGTGTCTGCTTGGTGCCACATGCCCGTTGATCCCTCTTAAAGCACAGACTTTAAATTGAAAGTATTACTGAAGTACAGCCTCTTATGAGGAGTGGCACTTAAACTGTCTGGGATACCACTATTGGACAGTTGTACAGACAACTGTCCAATTTTGGTGCTTGACTCTTGAATAGGAATTATTAAATGGAAAGATGCTCTAAGGACTAGGTCAAAGCCTAGTCTTTTTTTTTTTTTTAAATCCCCTTCACAATAAGGAGTATTTGTTACTTTTGGAAATTTTTTCGTGTTCTTCCAGTATGTTTAAGTGATGGTAATATTTTTCCAGTGGTTCGTTTGGATGAAAACTATTCCCTGTTTTTAATATTTAAGTAACATCCAGCTCGTGGTTTAGCCTGTGGTTGTATAGCTGTGTAATGGACTGTTACACCTTGCTGCTTCTGGGCCTGTTTTGTCTCTTCCCATACATTCCAATGGAGAAACTTTCTTACCTTTCCTTTAGGAGTGGAATAAATTTTTTCCAAAATGATCTTCTATGGGAAGAAAGGAGAAGGAAACCTAAATATGTCTAAATTATTTTCAAGTTGGCCCTGCATCATAATATGGGTTGGCCCCAAAGGCTGGGGGGAGGGGGAGGCAACTGGTTATCAGTATTTGTTTTCAGAATGAGATGGGAGCATCTTTCCTTTGCCGTGTGCTTTGTGTTTGATACCATCATGCTTGGGTTAGAACCAGACAACTCAGCACAAAGCTTCGAGTGTAAATTGTTGGAATCAAAACATCTCATTCTGATCACTTGGTTTAATTTTTTTTCTTTTTTTTTTTTTTTAAGGGTGGGAGGGAGGTTACTGTGCCCCAAAAGGGAGGGTGTCTGCACTAGGATTTAGAAACACTTTGGAAGCTGATAACCTCTTCAGAAACTGCCTTTAGCCACACTCCTGACCTTATAGATGAGAAACAAAAAGATGAAATTATTGGGAATTAAGCCATGTTGTTTTAATTTGCTACTCAGTGTTCTGTGTATCTTAAAATTTGTTATTGTGGAGTCATTTTCTGGCAAAATACTTTGTCAAACAGAATATTGGCCTCGTGGAAGCTGAAGTCAGTCAACTCTTTGGTAAACTTTAAGTGGACTTTGGTGAACTTGTAGTTCTACTTGATATCCTTAAAGATTATTTTCTAAAACTCCCAAAGAAAATCCACTCTGATCTAAAAACTCATCTTTGGGTTAAATAAAGGGTTAAGTGTCCAAAGGTTATAACAGTTCATGAGGTCAGAGGGAGCTAGCTTGGCACCTGGACTCTGCCCCTCCACAGCTAATAGATTCCAGCAGAAGTGTGTATAAATTCTCCAGTAGACTATACTGGGCAAGGGAGGGGGGGGGCGGGGTTGGGTTATTAAGATACAGGTTACTGTATTTTAACCAATGATTGTGGGGGAGGGGTGCCTGGAGAAAAAAAGTTGTTATTCCCCTTTTTGAAATAAAGTTGAGAAAATTTTATTTTTCAATAAAAATGGGATAGAATTTCAATGTCCCTAGCCACAAGGGACTAGTTCCACTGAGAAGTGATCAGTGGAGATTCAAAATTTTGAAAACATTTGGGGAAAGGGAAAATTGGCTTTCTGTTAATTGGTAAATGTTCCAGTGGGGCTCTGTTTCTGTTGAGATGTGTTATGTTGTATGTACACATGGACCAGAGTCTGCTGAGTTTATATAAAGTTCAGAAAAGATGGTTGATAAAATCTTGATTTTTTTTTTTTGTTTGTTTATCAATAAAAGCCCACTGGAACTCCAAATGTGTATGCGTGATGTGTCTTTAGCAGCAGGCTATGCTAACAATTGTTGTATTTGAGAGCATTTTACCAAAGTAATTCATATTGCAGTGAAGCAGTAAGACATTCTCAACACCACTCATGTGAGCCTAGTTGAGTAAAATCTGAAAGCACTTTTATCCACCTTAGACCTAGTCCTCTGTACACATTTCACTTTGTCAGTTTCATAGCCTAAACAACCAAGATAACCACTTGGAAAGGAAATGTTGGTCCACAATGTGTCCAGGCAAATTGTCAATAGTTAACCACCTCCCAAGATTTTTCAGATGTTTCAGAAATATGAACATGCCCACAAAAATTAGGAATACATCTATTCCTAATTTGTATGCTGAGAACTAAAAAAATGACCTAAATGAACTCAGACACAACTGAACACTCATATCCACCCCAAAAGAAACAGGTATAACTAAAAATAGGTGCAAGACAATCTATAGGATGTAGTGTACCAGATATCTCTGCCTACGATCTTTCCAGAGAGAAACCTGTATAAACCAAGTAAACATTTTCTCTTCGAGCTTCCATTTGGGTTTGATCACCAGGGAATTTCCCGTCTGAGGAAGTGGGAGGGAAGTGTGAGATCATAGTTTGTATTCCTCTGATTCCCTCCCTGCAGGATTGCCTCTTGCTGCTTTGTCCATTAACTGAAGATTTCTGTGGCTAAGTCTGTGTGACTCCATCTTTTGGTAACTGCCACCTCTCCCCTGGTAGGGTTCCCCTATACTCATACCTTTGTAAAGTGGCCATATTTAAATAAAGTCTCAGATTTTCCTATTAAAAGTGTGCCATCTTGTTTATTTTGTTGGGACCCAGACAATGGTTGAGACCAGAAATGACTACAGGAAACATTCTTAAACAGATTCTGGGATTGGGTTAGTTAACATTTGATGAGGTCAATAACAACCTTACGGGAGTTGGTGAAGGGAAGCAGGGATGGGACATGAATAACCTATGGCATACAGTGTTATCGCAACTCAGAATTTCAATGGTGGTACCATGGGATGAAGTGAAGGTAAAGGAAAAGTGAGGCATGGGAAAATCGAGAGGCTGTGGCAGTTAGCAACAATAGGCCCTTGAATGCATACATTAAAAATTATGAATGCAATTAACACAAGAAGGCCGCAGAATTTTGAATAGGGGCCATGAGCTAATTGGGTTCCTAGGACTGAAATAGATGGCAGCCTTCTAAAGTTTTACTTGATTTGTAATGCACAAAAAAGCTCCAAATCTGATGAGCCAATCTGTTGAACACCTGAAATTTCCAGGCTGAGCCAGTTCACTGACATAGCCTCTTGAATAAAAGGGAAGTTCGGTCTCCCTTCTAGCTTTGCTCAAAAGGGCTTGTGACTATTTACTAGGGTGATTGTATAATGGGAAGGAGGAAATAGACTTTCGAGGACTACGGAGACCCAAAATACAGGTCAGAGTAAAGGCTTATGAAGGTTAAATGATCTTCTGAATTTTGAGTTAAAACGCACGCACGCACGCACACACACACACACACACACACACACACACACATATATGTATATGTATATGTGTTTACACGCACATATAATGTCCCCATTCTCCCACTCCCTAATCTTTGGCCAGCTTGTTCTCTGTATCTATGGAGCTATCTCTGTGTTACTCATTTTTTTTGGATTCCACATATAAATGAGATCACGTGGTTGGTATTTGAATTATTTTGCTTGGCCCTCTAGTTCCATTAGTTCCATCCATGTTGTCACAAATGGCAAGATTTCATTCTTTTTAGTTGCTGAATAATATTCCATTGTGTGTGTGTGTGTGTGTGTGTGTGTGTGTGTGTGTGTGTATGACTTTTATCTATTCATCTATCCATGGACTTCTAGGTTGCTTCCATGTCTTGGCTGATACTAGTAATGCTTCAATAAATAGAGGGGTGCATATATCTTTTTCAATTAGTGTTTGGATTTCTTTGGATAAATGCCCAGAAGTGGAATTGCTGGATCATATGGAAGCTCTATTTTTAATTTTTTTGAGGACTCTTCATACTGTTTTCCATAGTGGCTGGATGTATCATTGGCAAATCTCTTCTCCCATTCAGTAGGATGTCTTCGTTTTCTTGACTTCCTGTGTTGTGCAAAACTTTTTACTTTATGTATTCATATTGTTTTTTGTTTGTTTGTTTGTTTTCCATTATTATTTGTTTCCTTTGCCTGGGGAGACATATCCAAAAAGATATTGCTAAGAGCAATGTCAAAGAGTTTGCTGCCTGTGTTTTCTTCTAGCAGTTTTATGGTTTCAGGTCTTACATTTAAGTCTTTAATCCATTCTGTTTATTTTCGTATATGTTGTAAGAAAGTGGTTCAGTTTTATTTTTTAGCATGTATCTGTCCAGTTTTCCCAACACCATTTATTGAAGAGACTGTCTTTACCCTATTGGATATTCTTGCTTTACTTGTCATAGATTAATTGATTATATAAGTGAGGATTTATTTTGCGGCTCTCTGTATTCTATTTCATTGATCTGTGTGTCTGTTTTTATGCCAGTGCCATGCTGTATTGATTACTGTAGCCTTGTAGTATATTTTGGTATCAGGCAGCCTGATACCTCTGACTTTGTTCTTTCTCAAGATTTCTTTGGCTATTTGGGGGTCTTTTGTGGTTCCATATAAATTTTAGGATTATTTTATTTAATTCTGTGAAAAATGCCATTGATATTTTGATAGGGATTGCATTGACTCTGTAGATCACTTTTGGTAGTATTGACATTTTAAATATGTTTATTTTTCTTATCCATGAGCATGGTATAGTCTTTCATTTATTTGTATCTTGTTCAATTTCTTTCTTCAATGTCTTATAGTTTTCTGAGTACTGGTCTTTTACTCTTGATATTTTATTTTTTGATGCAGTTGTAAATGGGATTGTTTTCTTAATTTCTTCTTGTCATTTGTTATTAGTGTATAGAAATGCAATAGATTTCTGTATATTAATTCTGTATCCTGTAACTTTTCTGAAATCGTTTGTTAGTTCTAATAGTTTTTTGGTGGCATCTTCGGGGTTCTCTCTATATAGTATCATATCATCTGCAAATAATGAGAGTTTTGCTTCTTTTCTAATTTAGATGCATTTAACTTCTTTGTTTTGTTTGCTTGCTGTGAGTAGGACTTCCAATATTATGTTGAGTAGAATTGATAGAGGGCATCCTTATCTTGTTTTTGATTTTGGAGGAAAGGCTTTCAGCTTTTCACCATTGAATATGATGTTAGCTGTGGGTTTGCCACATATATGTTAGCTGTGGGTTTGCCTCTTGCAATATGTTCCTTTTACACCTACTTTGTTGAGAGTTTTTATCATAAAAATGTTGAATTTTGTCAAATGCTTTTTCTGTATCTATTAAGATGATCATATAGTTTTTACTTTTTATTTTGTTAGTGTGCTATATCACGTTAATTGATTTAAAAATGTTGAACCAATCTCGCATCCCTGGGATGAATCCCATTTGGTCATGGTATATAATCCTTTTAATGCATTGTTGAATCTGGTTTGCTAATATTTTCTTGAGCATTTTTGCATCTATGTTCATCAAGAATATTAGCCTGTAACTTTCTTTTGTTGTAAAGTCTTTATCTGGTTTTGGTATCAGGGTATTGCTGGCTTCATAAAATAGTTTAGAAGAATTCCTTCTTCTTCTATTAGAACTATTAGAACTAACAAACGATTTCAGAAAAGTTACAGGATACAGAATTAATATACAGAAATCTATTGCATTTCTATACACTAATAACAAATGACAAGAAGAAGAAATTAAGAAATAGTTTAAGAAGGATAGGTATTAATTATTCTTCGAATGTTTGGTAGAATTCCCCTGTGAAGCCATCTGATCCTGGACTTTTATTTGTTAAGAGTTTTTTGATTACTGCTTCAATTTCCTTGATAGTAATTGATCTGTTTAGATTTTGTATTTCTTTCTGGCTCAGTTTTGGAAGGTTTTACATTTCTAGAAACTTATCCATTTGTTTTAGATTGTTGAATTTGTTGGCATATACTTGTTCACAGTATTTTTAAAGAAACTTTTGTATTTTTGTGGAGTCAGTTGTCACTTCACTTTCACTTATGATTTTATTTATTTAGGTTCTCTCTCTTTTTTTTCTTGATGGGTTTGGCTGAAGGTTTGTCCAATATATCTTTTCAAAGAGCCAGGTCTTAGTTTTGTTGATCTTTTCTATTGTTTTTTTTTTTTTTTTTAATTTCTATTTTGTTTATTCCACTCGGATCTTAACTATTTCCTTCTGTTCACTTTAATCTTTATTCTTCTTTTTGTAGTTCTTTTAAGGGTAAGGTTATATTGTTTATTTGAGATTTTTCTTGATTGTTGAGGTAAGTCTGTATTTATATGGACTTCTCTCTAAGAACTGCTTTGGCCGTGTCCTATAGATTTTGGGTTTTGGGGTTGTTATGTATTCATTTTCACTTGTCTCAATGTATCTTTTGATTTCTTTGATCTCTTTGTTAACCCATTATTTAGTAGTATGTTATTTATTCTGTGTGTTTGTGTGTTTTTCAGTTTTCTTCTTGTAATTGATTTCTAGTTTCATCCATTGTGATCAGTGAAGATGCATGATACAATTTCAGTCTTCTTAAATTTATTGAGACTTGTTTTGTGGCCTAACATACGGTCTATCCTGAAAAAACGTTCCATGTGCACTTGAAAAGAACGTATATTTTACTGCTTTGGGGTGAAATATCCTAAAAATATCAGTTAAGTCTATCTGGTCTAATATGTCATTTAAGGCCACCGTTTTGTTGTTGATTTTCTGTCTGGATTATCTATCCATTGATGTCAATGGGCGTTAAAGTCCTCTACTATTATTGTCTTACTGTCTGTCTCTCCCTTTATGTCCATCAATTTTTGCTCTATATATTTAGGTGTTCCTATGTTGGGTGTGTAAATGTTTACAAGAGTTACATCCTCTTGTTGTATTTACCCTTTTGTCATTATA